AAAAAAAAGAAAATTTCTCTCTCTCTCTATATATATTATATTAAAATAGTGTTTAATTATTTCAATTTCTTTATGTTTTAATAACCATCCATATTAATTATTGAAAAAAAAATCTTAATTTATTACTCTCATATTTAAAGTCTTCCTGACTTGACTGGCTGACTAACTTAATATATATATATATATATATATATATATATATATATATTAAAATTACTAATTTATCATTATATAAATACAAATTATTGGATTAAGTTAATGACAAATATTGAAAGGTAAACACTTTAAAATATTAATTATCAATTGACTTTACTATTTTTTATGATTTTAATATGTGGGGATTTCATTTATAATGAAAACAGAATATGTCCAATATGAGTTAGAATAAACATGTTAAAACATGCCAAATAAAGAAAGAAGGTTTTCATTTTTGGATAATATTAAGTAATGCCAATTTAGTATTGTAAAAACTTGAAACTGTAGATTTGATAATAGAGTGTGTATATAAAATTAAAAAATATTTAATAGTCATGTTAACATTTTAAAATCACATATTTTTCTAATCATAACTATTTATACATATTTATATAATATTTCCATATTCCGTGTTAAGATTTCAATGATAATTTACATTTATTAAAGAACACAAATTTCTTTTAATTTTTAAAATTAATTTTGGCTTTAGTATTTTAAAACTATTTTTTTTTAAATTTAGATAAATGTATTCGATCAATTAAAAATATGATTAGATTTGTTTGCTTGAAACTTATTTTCAAACCAACGAGAGTCATAAAACTCACACGAGAAATATAGTGCAACGTTTTTATGAATAAATTTTCTCTCGAACATAAAATGTGTGTTTTTTTTTATTAATTTCCATATACCATTAAATAGATTATTCAGTAAGTATTAAAAAAGTTAAAAAATTGAAAATAGTAACAATTTTGAAAGGATTGTTTTCATTTTCATTTTATCTAAAATGTAAATAACCAAAATTATTATTTTGAAATATTAAAGATAAAAATGAGTCTTAACAAATACTTATCAACAACTTAAGAACCTTATTATAGAGTAACAAATAACATTTTTAATGTAATCATATATTTTTATTAATTCCCATCTAAGTCTGTTTTCCATAACATACATTGTATTATATACCTATTATTATTATTATTAATGAATAAGATTAATTTTGTTTTTGTATACCATCTCAATAAAGTACTCAGACAAGCTGGGAAATAATTAGTTTTCGTCAAAGAATATTGCTAATAAGTAATAATTGAAGCATTTTTTATAGTAAATTTTTGCTAATATCCTTCCATAAATAAAGTAACACCAATGATTTTGTATTCTTGTTCTGTCTTCTTTTCCACCTCTTAATTTCTTACTATCTGTCTCCATGATTCCAGTCAAGAAGGGAATAATCTCTATAAGTATTCAATCAGTCGACACAGTTTCTCAATCTCCATTTTTTCTCAACACACTTCTTCTTCTTCCGTCAATCTCTCTGCAATTCCCTTCTGTTTCATCTATTTGTTGTTAGGGATTTTTTTTCTTTCTCTCTTTTTGTTTTTTTTTCCTGCTCCGACTAAGACACGGCAATGTCGGAGAAGAAGACCAGAGTGTCTTTTACGGAAAAAGATGCTGTCGCGCTGATGCAGAGGTATCTATTTATTTATTTAAGGTTGTTTATAATTTTGTTTGTAATTTTGTGTTGCGACTTCAAAGAGTTCAAACGATTTGGGCTTTTTGTGCAGGTACGACCCAAGTACAGTGTTTATCTTACTTCAAGAAGTTGCGCATTACGCTAAGCCAAAGATTGATTGGAGCGAGTTGGTGAAGAAAAGCGCAACTGGGATTTCTAATGTTAGGGAATATCAAATGCTGTGGCGGCATTTGGCCTACCGGCATTCTTTGCCGGAAAATTTTGAAGTTGGGGCTGAACCTCTGGTCAGTACAATACTCTTGAAATTTCTTTGATATGCTAATTTGTTGTTAAGGTGAAATATCTTTTGCAAATTAGTTTTAGGGTACGTTTGAAATAACTTGTTTACAACTTATTGGAACTTATCTTACAACATAGACCAGCTTCGGTTGATAGGGATGGCGAGTGGTGAGTTGGGGAGAGACCACGAGGCTTAACCAAAGTGCTTGAGTTGGACTCAACCTGGTTGGGATGTCCACCTATTTGGTGTCTGTCAAACCCTAAGGGAGATTAGTGTGCGTGTGTGTGTGTGTGTTTGACGAGGAGATACTTCTTGGCAATGAAAAGAAAAGCCTTGCCACATAGACTTTTTGTAGAATGGATGGTTTGGTAGAGCTTATAAAATGTCCATGATAACTCTTGAAAATAGCTATAGTTTCTATGAAAACAGTTAACTGTTCTCCCTCTTTTAAGTATAGAAACAACTTATACGTAAGTGCGTACATGATAAATATTTAGGAACTTTCTAAAAGAACCAAGATAACAATGTAAATTGAATTAATCTTCTCCCCGTAGCATATTTCTTATGCATGAGTTAATTTTAACCTGTGAAAAACTCATCTCATTTTGTCTTCTATGTTTATCCAAATATAGTTCTATTCAATAAGCCCTTAATGAAGCTAAGCTATTTTCCCAAACAAGTATCCAGATGTATATCCCAAATTGTACTGAGATGTATATTCATCTCAGTACATTTTTATGCATTTATTCATGGATACTTTGCTGGTCATTTATTTGGATATTTCAAAAGGGTTTTTGGTCATGTGTCAGCATCGAAATTCCTTATGACTGTTTTATGGTTATTTTAGCAGTCTGATGATTCTAGTTGGTGCTAAATAAGGAAGAATGAAGTTTGGTTACTTCATAATATACAAGTGCAAGATCATTGTGTTTATGATTTTGAAGTCCTGAATGCAACCAAGTTTTATAGGGTCTCTTACTTTTGGCCTTATAGACGTGTGTCCAAATTCATATAGCCAATATTCGAGTACATGAAAAATTAAGGTAGAAGGTACTGGCTTAATTTTAATTCATAAATATTACCATTAGTTCCTTTATGGATCAAATTGACAAACATTTAATCAGATGACTGATAATGACTAAATAGTCACTCAACTAATGATTATATTAGTGGAGTATCCTTTATTATTCAAATTTCTATCCCAGATTAGTTTTTCACAACATGCTGTATTACCATTTTTCACTGGATTTTTCTTAGGTTTTTGGATTAGTGTTAGATATGTTCATACTTATTTGGAGTCTCATTTCCAGGATGATGACAGTGACTTAGAGTGTGAGCTAGAAGAATTACCTCCTGTTAGTGTGGAATCTGCATCAGAGGCGGCTGCATGTGTGAAGGTACATGTCCTTGCCCTAGTTATTACACATTTTATCTCAATATCTTATGCTTTGGATAGTTGTATAATTATTGTTTGTTAAATAGATTTATCAACAACATATTAACACATGGATCTTGTGCCTTATGCCACTGGGTAAGGATATGGCTAGAATCACAAGTGTAAATTTTACTAATTTCATTCTGATTGTAGGGGAGATTTCTACTTAGAATATAACAAAAAGAATTTTATGAGATTAGTAAATACATGATTGCAAGTTAGCTTGGCTTTACTTGACGACTGACTATAAGAATAATAATATTGTGGTTGTGAATGGTTGGCAGTAAAGTCCCACTAATACCAGCAAATAAGTGTGGTAAAGTGAGAATGAATATACAAAAAAAAAAACACGTGATTAGGAATGGAATGTACATGAGAGGAAGTTGACGTAGCACCTATAAAGAAGATGATAGAAACTCCCCAAAGGTGGTTAGGTCATGTGAGAAGACCAGTGGAGTCTGCATTGAGAAAACTAGAACTAGTTAAAGCTTTTTTGACTAAAATTTGATTGGGGAAGACCTAAAAATCTATTGGAGGGAAACAATAAAAAGCCTTTAAATTTTATTGAAAATTTGATATTTGGTAGAATTCAATGATGTTGATTGATCTAAGTCGACAATACCATGTAGTGAAGAATAATTGAGTTCTCTTTACAGTTCCATTATTTAAACTTTAAATTGTGTTTTTTCTTGATATTCAATTTTGAACGGTCTGTTTTTGGGAATTGTTTATTCATCAGGTAATGATTGCTTCTCGCACACTCAGTGACTCTGCCCCTAGTAGCTCAACAATCGAGGCTCCATTGACTATAAATGTTCCAGTTTGCCATTCATCTGCAACACTTATTGAAAGTTCACAACCCTCTAATTTGATGCAAGGGACAAACATTGTTTTTCCAGTCACTGTTCAGAGACAAACATTGCCAACACACCCTGTACCACCAACAGATGGTATTGAATCTAAGGGATTAGTTGGTGGTAATTTGGCGTCCAAAAGAAAACGGAAAACATGGTCAGAGGAAGAGGACATACAACTACGAGCTGCTGTTCAGAGATGGGGCGAAGGGAATTGGGCAACCATGGCAAAAGGAGACAATTTTCCTATTAAGAGAAGTCCTACACAGTTAGCACAGGTGGTTTTCAAATCATAAAACTTTATAAACCTGTTCTCTTAGTAATTATGTGAATATTTCATTGGAAGTTCGTATAAGACAGACCAAGATTCATTGTATGAATGATATCATTACATTTGAAAATTGGTCTTATTTTTTCGTAAAATCCAAAATTAACATCTTAAAGTTATTGTTGGATTCTTGGGATTTTAGGGGGGTTAATCTCGTGCTTGTGCTTGTTCTGTGACGGGTTCATTAAAAGTTCATCCTCTATTGTGGACTATTTCAAAACACTCAATTTATTAAACCGTAAATATTTATTAAAAATAATTTTTTTACATTAGCTAGTTGAGATCCCACATCGACAAAAAAATATAACCAATATTGTCCTTATAAGGCTTGGGTAACTCTCATATTGCAAGCTAGTTTTATGGAGCTAAGTTTTAATCCCAATTTTAATATTGTATTAAAACCCATCTTAGATGTGTTGTTGAACTGCCCCCATTTATCTGTGCTGCAGTTTTGGGTTTGAGGGATTTGTTGAGATTCCACATCGAGTGGAGATATATCATATACGATCAATGCTGTCCCTTTTAGGCTTAGGCAGTCCTCACATTATTAGTTAGTTTTTGGGATTGAGTTATGTCCTAAGCTTAAGTTCTGATTTCTTATCAATGTCTGTCTTAAATCCATTAATGGGTCACCCATATCTGTACACACAAAAGATGTCAATTCCCAGGCATAAGGGATGTTATTGGAGCACTTGCATATTTCCACACTCTAGATGTTTAATCAGGTATGTGAGAGAATGTTTGATTGTAGTATAATACTTATGGAACTGAGTCTATTTTTATTTGCTGTCCTCTATTCAGGTAACATGTCTTTTATGACCTTGTTTTCCTAGGTTCAAATCCCATTAATGAATTTTTTCATGTCCAACTCTATCAAGAACTTCTCATTTGTGATATTTTTAGTCGTGATGGATGAATCTATGCATCCTTTTGTTTACTGATTATTTTTGTGAATATTAGTGTCATTGATAACTCATCCAGTCCCTTTCACCTTTACTGTTTATTTGCTTTATATTCTATATATCAGGATGGGTTATCCTAAAACTTGCTGAAATGGACCATTTTACTTTGTATCTTTTTTAATACTCATGTGATTTAAACACCGTACCATTTTACCCTTTTTGTTATTTACTTTTTGTTTTATTTAATTCTCATGGGTTAATCTACAATTGTTTGCAGAGGTGGAGCATTTTACGAAAGAAAGATGGCACTGTCAATTCTGGAACCATATCAACCAGCTCACAATATACTACTGCTGAACAACTGGCAACCCGACACTCTTTATCTTTAGCCCTTGATATGCCATTCAAAAAGTTAACTGCTCCTGGAGTGTCAGATCCTGGTAATTGTACTGGACCTTTTTCTGTTTATTTTTATTTATCTTCATATTAATTAAGTTCGGATTTTCTATGCTTGTCCATTGATTTTGCTCCATTTTACCTCCTATTTTCTCCATCCATTTGTTTGGATGTGAGAAGTAGGGAGGAAAGAAATAAGAGAGAAGAGAAAAAGTGTGTTTGGTATTTTAAGTTGTTTGGGTTAGAGAATAAGAAGAAACAAATTAACTGCTCTTTCTCCCTTTATTTGGTTAGATCGAAAGGAAAGAATAAAGAAAATATGCTCATATCAAATAACATTTTTACCTTTACGCTAAACATAAAATCAAAATTTTGACATTTTGGTCTTTATATCAAATTCTCCCCTCTTCTCACCTTTTTCTCTGTAAATTGGAGCTCGATTTCTTTGCTATCTGCACAACGTTTTTCTTTTTTTTCTTCGTCTCTTTCTTTGTCTCTTCACTGTTCCAAATGTGATAACATTTTCTTGGGAAGTGTCTTCTGTTCCTAACCCAGTTCTTCCTCTCCTAAATCATTGGTTCCAAACAAATTGTAAATCCTGAACTGAATCTCAAAGTTCTACAACTCTCAAATCAATTTTAGGTGATTCTCAAATTTATTTAGGATGACTCTCATTGATGATTGTGGACATTTTTAGTGCCTAATCAAAGAAACACTAGTTAATTATGCACTTTCCGTGGGACTGATTATAGTTCCCGGTTTCATGTTGTCTACTGTGATTATGAATATTATTTGCAAGTGTGGTTTGAAATGTTTATGATCTTTCAGATGAATGGTAAGATGCAAATGTGATTTGAAATGTTTGTTTTATAACCTAAAAGACCACGAATTTAATTAATGTATTGCCTGTGTCACTTCTCCCCCTAAAAGTATGTCTATTTTTAGATTATCTAGCACTATTTAATACAACGAAGCAATTTTGTAATATAAAAGTACAAATTCAGAGTGACATTGAATTAGTGCATTGCTATCAATCACCATTTTGTTGGTGGACTTCTTACATTTCATGGCAGGAGTGGGATAGCCAAATAGCTTGAGTATGACTTTGTTGGCGTACAAATTCACCAATTCAATGGATATGTGTCTTGCCTTCTATAATTTTATTATACTTTCAATGGTCATCGCAGGCTTCCCGTGTTTATAGATATAATATCTCTATGCCATCAATGCTATCTTCCTTCTAGCATAGTGAGAGATTTAGAGTTAGGAAGTTGTTGATATATGCTAGTTTGTTGGGCTGAGATAGAGAGGAATTAAGGCAAATTGTCTATAAATAAGAGGGAAGGTTGAAGAGGGGATTGTCTTGTCATATAGGGTTTAGGACGCATAGACACTCAAAGTTCTGCTAGTCAGGCATTATATGCAGGAGAACTCCCTTGTTCTTTTCTTTCTAACTAGTACCGGTACTGGTTTTTGAAGATGATTCCAACATTTGATGGAAAAGAGGCTTATTGGTGGTTTGAGCAATGATTTTGAAGCAAATAGTGCATATGAAGAAGAGAAACTATCAAAGCAAGTGAAAACTCTTCCATAGGTCATGCTCTCAGCCTGGTGGCTAACTTGGAGATGGCACTATGTGAGGGCAGCCTGGTGGACATTTGTGAAACTGCTGATCAAAATATACTAACTGAAGTATGATTTTGGTCATAAGAATTGGGAGCAAAGATAACGAATCTTGGGTGGAAGAAAGCATAACAGGATAAATGTTTGGAGAGAACTTGTTAGGGTATAAGGGAGAGGTAATGAGAAGGAGAAGAAAGGTAGGAGGGAAGTGACGCCGTACGGTATTGATCGTAAAGGCCGAACGGTGGCAGACATGTAGAGGTAAGGCCGGACGGTGGACAAGGAGAATGGTCAGACCGAACGGTGGATAAGGGGGAGCAACCAGGCCGAACGGTGGGAGGCAGGGAGCGACCAGGCCGAACGGTAGAAGGAAGAGAGCAAGCTGACCGAACAGTAGAAAGGACGGAGCAGGAGGGCCGAACGGTTGGGGGCAGAGGAGAAGCATCCTAACTGACACAACAGTTAGGATGAGCGGGAAATTAATTAGAGTATAAGGTCGTATCTCAGGATATTATTCCGTATAAGTTAAATATAGTATATAAGGATAAAAATATTCATATCAAATAATTATAATAAATAGGATTATTCGCATCAGATAATTATAATAAATAGGAGTAATTTCTATTATTCATTACCTTTTTGGGAAGGAATTAATTAGTATTAATAAAGGGGAAGCCTAGGGTAGAAGGTATGCTTTTGAGAATTGAGTTTTGTAAAGGAGGTTATGTTCCAGGATAATTGACGAGGTTATGCTCCCAATTATTGGTTGACTGAAGGACGTTATGCTTCCAGTTATTATTTACTTGTGTTTACCTAGTTATTACCCGCAATAAAAGAGATTCTTTCATCCATTATCATTCGTTTATTGTTCCATTACGTGTGTGAGAGTGTGAAAGGTTGTATTTGGCTAATTTACGTACTCAGGTACGTAACAGAACTAGCAAGAAAAAATAATATAAGAATGTTACAAGAATTAGGAGAAAGTAGAAATCCAGCAAAGACAACTCATTGCCATTCTGGACCAAAAATCTGAAAATAGAAGCAGAAATGAAGTTCTTGGGATAAAGAATCATGGTGGCAGAAATGAGTCTGATGGGTTGTTGTGGGGTTGCTAAGAGGATTGGGAGAAGACCTATGGTTGACACAGAGGAAAGCAAGGAGCATCATGTTGGGGAAAACATCCCTTTAATGAACCACAAACAGAAACAAATCTAGACATCAAGTAGAATCAGGCGGTGCAGGAAAAACATTCAGGAAACAAAAGAAACTGAGAACAACCACCGTTTTGCTAATGGCAAGAACAAAATTTTCTATCAATCCTGTGAGAAGTGTTGTGAATCTGCAGAAAAGAGATGACTGAGAATAAGAGAAACATTTATAGAGAATATGGGGGAAGAAACTGATGGCCAAATAGCCAGATGGAGAAGCAACATGAAAAGAAAACAGAGGAAAATATGCAGGTTGCCACTGTGATGACCACCTTTTGGGTTGCAGATGGAAAAACAGGTAATAAAATGGAAGTGAGGATTGAGAAGGAAACCAATCCAATGGGTGGAACGATGGGGAGTAGAAAATGTTTGCGGTCCTAGAAGTCAGCGAACCACAACCGCTGGAACTTCTAGACCTGGTTTCTCCAAAGGAGATGGATGTTTTATTTAGTAGTTGATACAATCCTCTATAGGATTCAATCCAAAAAACTCAAGGATAATCATGGAAATGACCCATTATAGTTTCAATCATCAAGAAAAGAAACAAGAAACAATAGTTGAAATGGAAAAACATGGAAAGATTAGTGTTTGACTTAACTAAAAAACAATGTTGATGTTGAAGAAGGAAATCTTGACTAACAATGACAGAAAAATAACGTAACATTGAAATTTTAGTGTCTTTTAAAATTTACTTCTTTAACAACATATTTTGTCTTTAAGCTTTTCAAATTTCCCTATTCAAGCACTATATTTTATTTAGAATGTTCAAGGAATATATTGAGAATATTCTAGAACACTTTCAGTGAAAAATTGTAACCCCAATGTATTTTTAAATGAAATTTTCACAAAATAAGTTTTGTATGGTCTAAACTATTCTCTTCAATCTCTAATTTGTTTTGATAATTCTTTCCATTCTCACATTAGTAGTTCTCCTTGTTTTATTAAGTTTATTACTTGCACATCACTTGTAAGACTAATCAATCTTCTAATAATTTTATTTTTAGTTTATTGTTCTAATAATGTTATTTTTCAATCTTATGCAAGGTATTTGAATAACCTATTTTTATATGGTTGCAGTTAAGACATCCACATCAGTTAAAAATCAAGTGCAGATTAGAAATACTGTGGAGAAGGTTGCCACTAGTTTTGTACCACCTCAACAGCCATCTCGGCAAGCTTCTTTGTTGGGATCTGATTCTCATTCTCATGTAAAACCCAAACTAGTAGACGAAAAACTAATCTCGAAGGGTAATATAATTTCAAATCCTGTGTTAAAATCTACCACAGCTGCTCCTGGGACACGAATTGATTCACCTTCAAATACTATATCACATGTTAAAATTGCTCCAGTAAAACACAACGTAGACACCAAGCCTGCAGTAAGCTCTTTGGCAAAACCATCCGTTTCTACCAATATGCCTTCTGATCCAAAGGTTCATTTACATTATAAATTGCAAATCTCTTGCATTATGCAATAATTTGACAAATTGAATATTCACTCACTTTATTTATATTGTTTCAACAGAACAAACCGACTACTTCTTTGACTGATAAAGTTCCATTGGAGCAAGATGCTAATTCCACTAAAGACGATACCAGCTCCAGACCGAAAGATCAAACACCAGAAAACGAAGCTCCTAAAGTTACTATTGACAGCCAGGTCAATAGCAACTTAGAGAAGGGAAGATTAGATATAGGTCAAGCGAAGATTGTGCCTGTTAGTAGTGGAGAGGAAAGTTTGAAAGATAAAGCAAGTCCAGTCACAAATGAAAAACAACCAAGTGTTACTAAAGCAAATGCAGCGGTGTCCGAAAACCAAGGAACTGTTAAGAATGCTACTGAGAATAGCAACCTTGACAAAGGAAACCTAACTTCTAATCAAGACAAGAAAACTTCAATCAATGAAAGTTCAAACAATCAAAACATAAATGACAAACATGTAAATTTGCCAGTACAAGATGAAGGCAGCCAAAGTGACAAGGTGGTAAAACTGATGGAGAATGTTGAGTGATTAATTTGTGAAAATGAGTAGTTTTTTTAGATTGAATTCTAAAGTTTTGATGAAATTTAAGTTATTTTAGGAATTTGTACCACATTAGTGTACTGTAATATTTTTTAAGAAAAAATTGCCTAGTGGTAAATATATGTTGACGACCTGCAAATTTTAATGATTTTCTAAATGCTTCCTACAAGATATAGTTTTGTAATCACTTTAGATTTAATTTTTAAATTTCAAATAAGAGATTGATGGTACATCTCAATAAAGTTTATTATTTTTCAGAATTTTTGTAATGCTTTGCAAAATAAGACTGGAGCTATTAGATTGGGAATAAGAAGTTTTTTCGTTCAACTATTGTAAAAGTTGGGTGTATATATATATATATATATATAAACATCTGCAAGTAATTTGTTTTTTTAAGAGGGTTGTTTTCAAACTTTTCTAACTTAATTTTTAAAATATTTATGTGGCAACAGACTTTTGTTATGTAACTAACTTCGGATTCAAATAAATGTTTATTTTTCTTAAAGAAAACTAAGATATGTACTTCTTAATGAAGTGAGGTATATAAACAAAACTTTAGAAAGATTGAATTATTTTTTTTAGAGAATTCACCAAGAGATGTAGTCACTTTAAAAAAGTTAATGTGGGTTTATACACACATGATTCTGGATATCCTTTCATGCTTGTAAACTATTGTGAGTATATAGATGGTTTGCTTTTCAAGTTTTTCCAGATTTGCTTGAATAGTTTAGGATTATCCTCATGAACACTCATGCAACATGCATTTTCTGTATAATGGAGATAAGAACTACCACAAAAAATGCTTAAGCTAAAACAAAAGGATCTAGAATATAGGGACATAAAATATTTATGCATAATCTAAAACAGAAGAAGAACCTTGAATTCCATTTTATCTCAAATAAGAATGAGTATAATATAATATAATACAATTGCAAATCTAGAAAAATCACAATTTATCCTCAAGATACCATTCGTTTCAAGAACCAAAACAAATAATTACATTTGATCAGCAAAAAACAGAAGCCTTGGGCGAAAAATCACTTGTTAGTGGAAGAATCAGTTTGAGGCCATACACTGATCTTCTCCTTCTCATACTTAACAAAGATAGCTCCAACGGCAGCCACAAAATAAATCTGAATCAGAATAATCGCCGGCGAGTGGTAGTTGATAACGCCCTTCCCCGTCGCCAGCTCCACCAGCAACAGCGCTGTCAAGCCGAGAATTGCAATGCGACCGTTCAACCGCTCGCTGTACTGGCTGAACCCTAGCTCCACCTTCACGCCCTCAGAAACCGGCTCCTTCAGCGCCACGGGCGGCAGGAACACGCCCGACCCGGATCCGGAGCTTCCTTTCTTCGACTTTCGATTCTTTCGGAGCTCCGCTTTCTTTCCTGTGCCGCTGCGGTACCGGAGGCGAAGCTGGCTGATGCGGCTGTCAAAGTCGTCGTCGGAGGCATCAGGTTCAGGATCGGAGGGCTCCGAACCGGAGGGAGGGGTTTCAGGTTCGGTGGCTCGGAGAACGAAGAGGCGCCGGGGATTGGGTTTGGAAGAGGTAAGTGAAAATGGCAGTGAGAGTTTTACATAAGGTGATGCTAACATCGCCATTTTTTCTTCTTTCCCTTCTTTCTGCTGTGTTTCTTTCAGATAACATTGTTTTTTCTTTTTTTTTTTATATTTTATGTGGTGCACTCTTACTTCATTTCTCAACCATAAAATCAACAGAGAAATGTGTATTTTAATTATTTTTACACTGAACTCTGAAATATTATTTCTTTTCCAAGACTTTTGGGATTTTTTTTTTCTCTGAAGTTATTTGGGGTCATTTCAATTTTCTTTTTTTAAATAACTCATTTTTTGATGAAAAATATGCTATTCTACCAATTTAATTTAGAAGATAAATACCATAAAAAAGCTTAAGATACATCATAATCAAGTGATTGTAATTTTTATATTAAATAAAATTCAATTTTATGGACAGTGATATTTTTATAATTCACAGTCAGAAACTTCTTTCCTTGTAATAAGAATTAAACTCAAAAGTCCCATATTAATAGTGGGTTTGTCTTTCCTTGTCTCTAAATCTGATTTAGTGATAATTTAAAATCAACTCTATATTTTTTTTCCTTGTAATAAAACATTTTGTGAGAAAAAATAGGACTTCCTTTTTAAGGTTCTCTCATTCATTAGATTTTTTAGTCGAATTCTCTTTTTATTTGAAAATATAGTGAATGTTATTGTCACTTTATTTGGATGTAGAGAGTGTTATTTTTATTGTTATTTATTCTTGGATTATTTTCTATTCAATGAGATTTTATTGTAGTGTAGTTATAGTTGTGGTTATTTTTCTCATCTTTTAATTCAGTTGAATTAATGTATTGTTATTTTGATGGTTGAAATTTGAAGTTTGATTAACTCAAAGAGTATATAAAGAATGTTTATTTAACAAGGATTCCAATAGTTAGAAAGTAAGAATTGTTAATCTGGAAGAAGACTATTTTTTCATTTATCAACATGTATTAAATACAACATAGATAACAAACTAAGGTAAAAATACTGCACCACATATTCACAATTCAAAACATAAAACAGAACCAAACAACTTTAACAAACTTCTAGCTAAGACTAATTCAAACATAAATAACAATGGCAACCAGCTACAGGAATTTAAATTTATAAAACACCTACTGAGGCACAACTTTGGCTTATGATATATTTGCATCACCTTTTTTACTTTTTATATTTATGCAGTATCATGCATGGGAGGGTTCCTAGTTTTTTGTTTCTTTCTCCTTAGTTGCAACTGATGCTTTGTGTAATATGGTTGTACCTATATTTGATTAATGATTTTTATCTTTGACCAAAAAAGATACCAAAGATATGTATCTAAAAACCTTTACAAAAAAACTAATCCAAAAAGGAAAACTTCAAAATCATGATGACAGACTAACTATACAGAAAGTGGAGTTGCCGAAACACTTGAATAGAAGATTACGAAAGTTGGTCTAGTCAAGGTCATCATCATCAATTGCTAGATCACTGTATTGTCTTTGCCCTGCTGGACTCTCACATTCAATGACTTGTTGCCTTTGTTTCTTTAACTTGACACCAAACAGAAAAGACTTCAAGGGTATTCTAGCTCGACTTGTGGATTGTTTTGTAATTTGGTCTTGATTGTTAACCCCTATTTCTTTACTCAGTTCTTGTAGCATCTTATCAACTTGGCCTTTCAATCCCTTCACAAAAACGACACCTGCTTGCAGTTGACTACAAACCTTCTTGTTCTCTTGCTTCATGTTGAGAACCTCACCTTGAAACTTTGCAGCCTGATACCCACTAAGTTCTGCCATATTGGATGCACAATTTGGATTTGCTGCTCTTGCTATTTCATCTTGTAAGGTGCACAATGATGGGTGCCTACGTTGTAACTCTTCATGCAAAACCTCATTGTGATCCAACCATAGTAATAACTCAGTTCTTATCTCTCTCAGGTGTTTAATTATTGCTTTTATTTCAGAGTGCATGATATTTAAGTTCTCGTGGGACATATTGTCGTCCCTTATGCTTCTAAGCTCACATTTTAAGTCCTCTATGGAATCATGGAACTTCTGTGTCTGGTGCACTGAAGTGCTGAACCTCAACCAGAACTCAAGGTTCTCCTCTAGCAATATATTAATGGCTGAACGAAATTTCTTCTCCAAGATTGAAAGTGAACGGCTCCTGTTATGCTGGTTAGATGTCACCTTCACTAGTATGCCAATCTTTGTTTTTTTATCAACACATTGTTGGTGGTGATCTACATCAGAAGTACTACCTGCACCTGCACCTGTGTTTGAAGTTGGATTTTCTGTGTCCTGTGTCTCTGTTTCATGAGGTGCAATTCCAAGAAGTGCTTCTTGTGGTGTGTGGTTATAATCTGGGAGAGTGATGCGAGGACTTTCTTCTGGACTTGTTTCAGAGCAGGTCAGCTTCTGCTGTAAAATGTTGATCTCTTTTTCCTTAGTTTCAACAGTATCCTTCAACTCCCTTATCTGTTAGTATAGATATAAATTCTCAGGATTGCAGGAAATGCGTACCATATAAATACAACTTCTAAAAGTAAAATGTCGACACTAACCATTGCACCTATTATTTTAACTTGTCATTAAACAATTTCAGAGTAGTTTATGCCCAAAATTCTGACACGAAAATTAAGAAAATTCTGATATGCTAACAATTATTCTTTGGGTTAACTATATGAACTTAGTCCCTAAACTTTTATGCGAAATTGAAATTGGTGCTTGTTCAAAACCTGGATACATTTTGGTTCTCAAATTTAAAAATGAATGTATATAGTCGTTTCAATCTAATTATGTTAAATTTTTATGACGTGTCAAATGCTATTTATTTCATGCTAGTATTTTAGTTGTTTAGACTGTTTGACATGTTTCTGCTTCAATGTCTACTGAAAATGCATTTGATACGTAAAAACAAGAATCAATGTAATTGGATTAAAAGGACTACATCCATTTATTTTCAAAATTTGGAGACTGAAACGTATCAAAGTTTCGAACATAGACGAATTCTAATTCAGGTCAAAGTTCAATGACGAAAAATGTATTTAACCCCTATTATTTGGAGGACACTTAGGAGGACACTTGCTGCACAAATTCAAAAATGAAAAAAAAAATATTAAATGAAAGGTAGAGCTTTTAGAATCTTAATGTATTAAATGTTGCACTTCTCATCATACACATATATTTTTATTTTTTAATGAAGTTTCTTTAAGCTACATGTAAGAGAGACCCGTAAAATTGTACAAAGCTTAACCAGATTTTTGTTTCTGATATATAACAACTTATTCTGTATGAGGATTAAGTAAATCTATACATCAAATTTGTTAAAGAAAGGTATTGCTTCTTCAATTTGGCTTTACATTGTTAACATTGAAGTTCACTATAAACTCAGATATTTATCTAAGCATTCATTAATTTTTCTTAGCTCTTACACACACACACACACATATATATATTGAATGATATTTACCTGAAGTGCGAACTCCAAAATGTTGTCCTGATTTTTCTTCTCCGCATCATTGAGTTTGCCCTTTACATCCTCGTAGTTCCTTAAAACTGAATTGAATTCCGATAATATCTTTTCTCTGTCATCTAATCCACTTGCAAATATCTGACTCCACTTAGTTTGATCCTTCTCACCAGTTACCTGATCGAGTGATTCAGTGTCAAGATTACTCTTTGACCCAGAAAAATCATCCTTATTCAGCGGAATTAACTCTGGAATGTCTTCAATCATTAAATCAATAGTTTTATTCCAATTGTACTCGTTATCTTCATTTCTAACATCACCAAGATTCACACTGTAGTCTTCCTTTTTCTCCTTTGTAGTCTTAAGATCCTTCTTGGTTTCTGTGTTATCATCACTTAGTTTTTTAGGCTCCTCTTTTAGTTCTACATCTGATGCACTTCTGTTTTTGTAAAGTACCAAGTTCTCTCCCTCCTCATCTGGCTTCACATTATTTATTTTTGCTGAAAGATATTCAAGCTCAAAATTAGCCCTAGTAAAGAGTCTTTGGAGGCTGTTGCGTCGCCTTTTGACTCTTTGATTGAGAGTTTTAGCTCTCCTCAACTTTTCTTCAACTTCTTCCAGCTTCTTTTTGGTTTCTTCTGAATCTTCTATTAGCATTTCTTCATCCTCTTCCAAGACGAGTGTAATTTTCTTAAGTTCTTCTGCTTCTGATCTCAGTCTCTTAACTAAGCCAGTCTGAGAAGAGACTGCAGTTTCCAGCGTAACAACCTTATTTACAAGGTCATCAATCTTGTCAGCCATTTCTGCCAAAGTGAGGGAACTACCTGAATCTTTCTCAAGCTTTTCACTGATTTCACACTCATGCATTTCTTTTTCCAAGCTAAACACATCTTCTTCCTCTGTGCTTTCTCGGTCTAGTTCACTTTTATCTTCAGAAAAAAGTCCATCTCTGAGGATTTTAAGCTTGCCTTGAGCTTCCTTAATCATTTGATACGATTCTTTAGTCCCTTCAGATGATTGTGCCATTGCCTCTTGCAACATAAGCAGGGTTTCTTTGCATGAATTTAGAGCAGTTGCTTCCATCAAAGCTCGTGCATCATTATCTTCTATGATATTATTAATGCCAAACTCATCTTCAAAATTGCAAACTCTTCTCTGCATATTTGTAATCCTGTCTTCAATTTCCCAATACTTTTCATAGGAATGCTCATACAAGCTCCTTACAAATTCTTTCTCAGTCTGCAGTGCCAAAATTTCTTTCTGAAGCTTGTCAACTTCTTCTAGTGCTTCAGCCGTACTCAGACCTGAAGTAGGACTAATGGGAGGAGATTTTGCAGAGCTAGGAATCCTCCTAACTGGACATCGTTTTCTAAAATCGTTCGGTATATCTGGAGGTTTAGGAATGTCCTTTTTTGGTGTTTGATTGATGGGGTTTTGAGATGATGATGATGACTTTGATCCACGGAAATTTTCTTCACCATCATTCTCATCTATTCCATAATGGACTTGTTCTGGGAAAACAGTGGCAATAGTACGGTTGGCACTTTGAAGTTCCTTTGATATACGATCATATCTCTGTGCCAATGCTCTATATGCTCGAAAGACTTCTTCAACATAACCTATCAGCTGTGGCCTCTTCCTATAGTACATTTCTGCCCTTTGGGAAAATGACTCTCCTTCATTATGAATGATGTTGAGCGTTTCGGCCACCACATGCTCCATATCTGTTGAGTTTTTGTATGCATATTGGCAAAGTTATTTTTTCAACTCAAAGTAATGCTATAAGAAATGTGGGTTGGAGTTGTGAGAGTTATGTGATTATCATCTGTGTTTTTCTGCTTCTTGTTCTTCATGTCATCAATGTATTTATGAATCAGGCCATTGTAGTGTCATCCTTTGTTTCACATTATAAACATTTTTCTTCATTTTTCTAATCAGAAAATGGTGAATACAGAAATGGGGCAAGTTTTTATATGTGGAAAGAAATGCATCATGTTTAAGCAAGTAGGCAACCTTGCCATCTTAGGACAAACAGAAATCTGCATCATTTCTAAATGATTAAGGTTTGTGAAATCCAGAGAAATGAAAATGTGAATATATCAATAGGGACCTACTGATATGTTTTGATTGAATTGATGTGAGATAAAAGCATGAAACTATATAATACTAACAGAGATATATACCTTGGAGACTTTGTTCCAGCCATTTTGATTGTTTTGTCCTGATGTGGCTCGCCCACCACCATGAATATGCACTGGTTGCGGCTCTATGCAACATTTTTATTTTGTGTAACGATCAAACACATTTAATCCATTGAGATTAGACCTTGATGATGAAGATAAACGAAACCAATAAGGTGGTTCAAATATTAACAAGTTAAGGAACACAGAATGTCTAATTAGAATAACTGCAAATTTTATTAATGATGTTGGCTGTTAAAGAATTTTAGATAAGAGAGAAACAATACATGAAAACGAGGATACTTCTCCACAATCATTGGTGTCTAATGTATTGGATCCTTTGAAGAGCAAAATGTTTGGAGAGCTTTGTTACAGGGCTTTTAAGTGGGTATGGTACTTTAGTCTTTTTAGGGAGAGAGTATATATTTTTTAAAATTAAAAAGCATAATTTCAAAAGGAGTTATAAATTATGATTTATTTTCTGTGACATTTAATCAAAATCACCCTTTAGTTTTCTCAATAAATATTTATCAAAAAAAAAAATAAATCTAAGAACTAGCATTTAACATAGTTTTTCTCTTGATTACATTTTTTCCTTCACTAATAATTAGATTGACGATATGGTGAATAATAATAAACAAGGAGTTTATAAAATAAATATTAATACGTATAAAAAAAGGGTTAAATATGTTTTTAGTCCCTAAACTATTGACCGTTTCTGGTTTTCGTCCCTCTTCCAAACTAAGGTACGATTTGGTCCTCAATCTTTAAAAAACGTTCGTTTTAGTCGAAAAAACGAACGTTTTGAGGACTAAAACGAGGACTAAAAATTTGAGGACTAAAACGAACGTTTTTCTAAAGAATGAGGACCAAATCGTACCTTAGTTTGGAAGAGGGACGAAAACCAGAAACGGCCAATAGTTTAGGGACTAAAAACATATTTAACCCATAAAAAAACTAACATAAATAGTTGAAGTATTTGTTTCAAACGTTTTTAAAATATAAAAAAAAGTCGTTAAAAGTCACATTATTCTTCTGAAAAATGGAGAATACATAAAAAAAATAACATGCTTAGTTAACATACGAGTAAAGTAAAAAGAAGATAATTAAATTGATAGAAGATAATTAAATTGATAGAAGATAATGTCTAAAAAATTGGATAAAAAACATATTTATGTCGTGAGATTAAACCAAGGATGAAGAGATATGAAAAAGAAGAAGAATCTACTTTATAATATTATTCGAAATTAGGAATCTAAAAATATAAAAGTATAAGACATAATAAAATATAATAATAAAATAAAACAAGATTAAATAATTAAAGTTTTTGTTATGTATATTTGAAGAAATGAAAAATAACACAATAATTCTATATTATTTCTAATATGATTTCGTGTGATCATAAAATATTGAATTATGGGTAGTTTAAATAATATTTAAAAATATATAATAAATTAACATGTCATAAATATTTTCTGTATGACCATATTTATTTAACGGTACAATTAAATAATATAATTAAAACTCAAATAAAATAATGGCATTCACAGTCACTCATCACAGTAACCCAACCAAAGTGGGTGCTTTTGTATCATCAATTTCTTTGGAGTTTAAAGTTTGATTATAATAATTTAGAATAATAGTCAAAATTAATTACAAGTGTGATGGTTGTGTGTGGGTGGGCCAACCAAGCGTCATGGAGCATTGGTTTGAATTGCTTTTTTGTTAGGACGAATAAAACAGCATGAAAAAGAGGTAAAGAAATATTCTCGAAGAAGCTCACGCAGGCAGAATCTTTTACACTTGCAAAACCCTGAAATCTGACGTTCTGCCATGGTTTTCACAGCCACGCTGTGTTCAAGCTTCACTTCAGCACCTTCTTCCTCCTCTCGCTACTCATTCTCCGCAACTCCTTCCTACTGTGCATTTCCCCCACGCAGGATCGCGACGCCAAGAATGGGACCGTCTCCGGCTCAAGCCCAGGCCCAGGCCCAGTCCAAGGAGGCCAAGCTCTGGGGCGGGAGGTTCAAGGAAGGTGTAACCGACGCCGTGGAGAGGTTCACGGAGTCGATCTCCTTCGATAAGCAGCTCTACAAGCAAGACATAAAGGGAAGCAGAGCGCATGCGTCGATGCTCGCTCACCAGGTCAGTCACGAAATCTTTCACTCTTCGAATCCAACGCTCAGCGAAACACTCACTGTTCTTTGTTTAGGGTTTGATAAGCGCGAGCGACAGAGACTCTATTCTCGAAGGTTTGGAGGAAATAGAGAAGCTCATTGAGAATGGAGAGTTCAACTGGAGAGCTGACAGAGAGGACGTGCACATGAACATCGAGGCTGCGCTCACCGACATGATCGGTGAGCCTGCGAAGAAGCTCCACACCGCTCGGAGTAGGAACGATCAGGTTTTGACTGACTTTCGCCTGTGGTGCCGCGACGCTATCGACGGGATCCTCGTGAGCATGAAGCAGCTTCAGGTGTCGCTGCTGACCCTGGCTTTGAGGAACGAGGGTCTCATTGTTCCTGGTTACACTCACTTGCAGCGCGCGCAGCCCGTTTTGCTGCAGCATCTTCTCTTGGCTTATGTTGAGGAGGTTTGATCGTAGTTTAGGCCTTGTTTGTTTACTGCTTTTGGAAGAGTGATTATTTTATTTTCTAATATTTGTTAGTTCACTGAGCATATATTTGAACATTTTAAGGTGTTTGTATCCTGAGCACTTGAGTGAAAGAGGATAAGACGAAATAGAGGAAAAGGAGGATGGGAAAAATCTTCTGATTGTTTCTGTTTTTTTTTTATTGTCTTACTTGTTTCCGAAATGATTTTCAAGACTTGATAGGTTTTAATGAGAAATTGATGTTTAGTATTGTGGAGTTTCTTTAGAAAACAGTGTTGTTAATCAACTTTAAAATCTCATGTTAATAATAGAAGAGTAGAGGAGTTCGACAACTGAATGGTGTTGTTATTTATGTCAGCACTGTGTATATGATGTGTTTATCGTTGTTATTATTTTGAAAATGTATGTTCTATCTGATTTATTCATCACTTAATTAAGGAGGTGATCTGGATTTTGGGTGTAGTTTTAGAACTATTATTTATTATGCAGATCGAGCGTGATGCTGGGCGCTTGGTAGATTGTAGAGCTAGGATGAATTTCTGCCCCTTAGGGGCTTGTGCATTGGCTGGTACAGGGCTTCCCATAGATCGATTCATGACTTCAGAAGCTTTAGGATTTACGGCTCCCTTGAGGAATAGGTATTTCACTTCATTTTATTTTATGTGAAGTCAATCTATGTAATTATGACTAGCATGTAATTGGTGTCAAGTTTTTATATGCATCCCTTTGCAGGATATGCTAACTGATTTTATATTATGTTAAATAGTATAGATGCAGTTTCGGACCGAGATTTTGTACTGGAGTTTCTTTCTGCAAATGCCATCACAGCTGTGCATCTTTCTCGGCTTGGTGAGGAGTGGGTACTGTGGGCTTCCGAGGAATTTGGATTTATCACACCAAGCGACTCTGTTTCAACTGGAAGTAGTATTATGCCTCAGAAAAAGAATCCAGATCCCATGGAACTTGTTCGTGGGAAGTCTGCCAGAGTCATAGGGGACCTGGTTACCCTTCTCACATTGTGCAAAGGTCTTCCTCATGCTTACAACCGTGATTTGCAGGTAGCTAAAAAGTAAAAAAAAAAAAAAAAAAAAAAAAAAAAAAAAAAAAAAAAAAAAAAAAAAAAAAAAAAAAAAAAAAAAAAAAAAAAAAAAAAAAAAGTGTGACTTTTGTTGAATTGCATGTTTTCTTTCATGGTTTGTTCTTTAGTTCATTTGTTTTATTTCTGCATTTTTTTGTTGTCTGGGATTCACTAAAAAAGGTTCCTTTGTGGAAGTAGGAAGACAAAGAACCAGTATTTGACAGCGTGAAAACTATTTTGGGGATGCTTGAGGTATCAGCTGAATTTGCTCTCAATATTTCCTTCAATCGGGAAAGAATACAAAAGGCATTACCTGCTGGTCATCTTGATGCAACCACACTTGCCGATTATCTTGTTAATAAGGTCAGTCTCATTTACTGTTTTGCCTTCTCTGAGTTAACTATCTGTCTGCTATACAAATTTGTGTTACTGAAAAGCAAGATAATTCATCTGGTGTAATCTTTATTCCCCCTCCGCAGGGTCCTTTGCTTCAACAGAAAATAGAATCAAGCACACTCCCCCATCCCCAAAATACAATCAAACGAAGGAAATAAATGTTTACAAATTTTACATCTTATCTTGTTTTCAAATACTAATTCAATAAACTACTTTGTGAAACGCTTTTCATGTCATTGTTACATGCTCCACTATTACCAGTCTATCCAGTTTTCAGGATTAGATGTCTAAACAACGAGGGGTACTGTGTGTATGGGTACTTCTCCCCTAAAAAGGGGACTCATGCATAGGGGTCATAGTGCATCTGTTCTAACCATGGTTGCTTGCTTTTATGTTCCAACTGTATCATTTTTAAATTACAACTTATCCTTTTGTCCTCTATTAGTCGTGCAAGCCTCATTCTTATCATTTTTCTTTCGCA